CATGTGGCCTCATATTAAAAGTGCATATTTTTAAGGCAAATATCTACAGAACTGCAGGTCTGATTGGGTTAAACTTGGTATGAACCTAAACCGGGATGTGTTATAGATAGAAACTCAAGTGATGTCACGATGACTTCATCATGTGACACGTAACGTCATATTAAAAGTGCATATGTTGAAGGCCAATATCTACAGAACTACCGGTCTGACTGGGTTGAAACTTGATATGTACCTAAAACGGGATGTGTTATAGATGAACATTTAAGTGACGTCACGATGACGTCATCACGTGACATGTGACGTCACATTAAAAGTGCAAATTGTGAAGGCCAATGGGGTTGAAACTTTGGATGTACCCTAAAACAGCATGTGTTATAGATGAAACTTTAAGTGACGCCACGGTGACGTAATCATGTGACATGTGAGGTCACATTAAAAGTAGATATTTTGAAGGCATATATCGACAGGACAACATGTCCGATTGGGTTGAAAGTTAGTATGTACCTAGATCGGGATGTGTTATAAATGAAAATTGAAATGAGCTCATGATGACGTTATTTAGTGATATGTGACGGCCTATCAAAGGTGCATATTTTGAAGGCCAATATCTACAGAACTCTGTTTGTCCTGATCACTCTACCGCACATCATATCAGTCTTACATGACATATAACTATACAATAACAAAATTACCAAAATAGCCGTATGTTTGTACACAAACATAATTAAATTTAGTTACTCTTGTAACTCGAGGAATCAACCAAAGAACACAAAACATGCTATTCTGTGTTATCTTATCTTTTATTATCACATCTCTGAACAAAATTTGGAAAAAAGAAGAAGTACTCAATTTACAGGTGCTAAAACCAAGTCTGCTGTTAAGAAAAAAAAGCCAAAGCTAGGATAGCATACATGCTGCAGGGCATTGGTGATGTTGGTGGAATTTCTTACATTTCTTATTTTAAAAAAATGAATTCTTGTTTGAAGAACTATTTTCTTGTCTCACTGCCTAGAAAAAAATTTTAGGGAGTGACACAAGAACAATTTTCTTAAAATTTTTACATTTTAAAACTACCATTTTTAACAGTAGGGTGATTTATGAGTAGGCAGGCAGGCGATTATCTGCGATGAGTCTTTATGTGGGAGAGAAATCCAATGTACGAGGCACATTGTCTCCCACAGGTGCTATGGCAAAGACTCCCCAGAGGTTGTCCCTGTTTTCCTCTCTCTTTCTCTCCTCTCACTGGTGGCTGCTGCTCTCCTCTGTTCAAACATCTCTGTGCCCTTGGCACCGACTTACTGCCAGAGGAACCCGTCCTGAGCACAAGCTTCCCAGGAGCAAATGGCCTTCAGTCTGTCCTTGTACCTCTTGTATGGTCCACCTTGTGCGTGATGGCCTTCTTTACAAAGCTGACCATACAGAAGGATCTTGGGATTTCGGGTATCATCCATACGAACTACATAGCCTGACCAACAAAGCTGGCTCTTGATAAGCAAGCATTCAATGCTTGAAAGACCACACCGTTCAAGGACTTGCAAGTTTGAGACCCAGTCTTGCCACTTGACGTTGAGTAGCTGTAGTAGGCAACGTTGGTGAAACTGCTGAAGTTGCTTAATATGGTGCCTATATGTGGTCCGAGTTTCACAGCAGTAAAGCAGTGTGCTAAGTACAACAGCCTTGTACATGGCAATTTGGGGTTGAGCTTGATGCCATGGTCTTTTCAAAAGAAAAATAATAATCAGGAAATCTGGAGATAGGAATTGATATTCCTTTTTAAAGAGGCTAGAATGAGAATGGAGGGAAACAGCCACTAGGCAAGGCCTTCCAAAGAGATACAGAGCGTGGGAAAAAGCTATTATAGTAGCTCTTTGTTCTACATCTCGGCACAGCTAAAGTGCATGGGTGAGAGGAAGCAGAGAGCCTGGTTGTCACTCAAACACCCTGACATGAGGAAACAAGTCAAACAAACTGGTGGGACAATTTCCATTGAAATATCTGTAGAACAGACTGAAGATGGTTACTGACCTACGGTGAGAAAGGGTTGTAATGATGAGCCCAACTCTTCACCAACCACATAAACAATTCGCTTCTACATCCGATCTAATAGAGATAAATGGCAGGCAGAAGCTCTGGCCCATATGTGGGAACAGTATTCCATCAGGGGACGTATAGCAGGTCGAGTAGCTTGTTAATTTCTGGGTTATTTTCATCAAACCAGTCTCTGTGAATTCTCTCAACAAATCCAAGGGTGTCAGATGATATCGTATAGTAGTGCTGCAACTGATCCTCAAAGTTTGGTTCAGTTCGGTTCGGTTGCAGTTCGATTTTTTTTCTCCAAACTTCGGTTCGGTTCGGCTTCGGAAGTGTATACATAATGTACATCATACAATGTATTAGGTTAATACAATAAAAAGCATATACATACCGGTAGGCCGTTCCCCTGTTCGAACAAACACGTGTGTACCGCGCACGTCTGACAGAAATAGGCCCCGCAATTTCCACATGCTATTCAACACAAGTTGAAGGATGAATCTTATTTTTATTGCGTTAACAATATTCCGTTATAATTTGACTTGATGACGTTGAGAAATGAACATCGTAAATTGCTAGAGGGTTACCTATCGCAGCCCTATCCGGCCCGGCAACTATGATAAAATTGGCGATCGTGTAGTGTAGGGCCCGACTCCTAACTTAAGGGAACAAAATCTACTTTAAAATTATGAGACAGATGAAAGAAGTTGGTTCTCAATAAACAGGTATGTCATAGATGGAGGGCATGATTTTTTTTAGGGAAATTTGGGGGTAAAATGACAATAACAGCGCGGCGACACAACACGCAACCCGAAAATAAAGATGGCATTCACCGCGCGAGGTACCATGAGTGAGCAAGTACGGTGCGCTGAATCGCAAGGTGCAAACTGCGCACGACAATCATGATTTCTACCTCAAGAAACTGTTCAAAATTGCAAAACGGGTGTCATTAGAATTGAGAAGTCTGCTTTTGATTATAAAGGTGATTTATTTAGCAATTTGACTCTAATTTGATCAAAACAAAACAGAGGCCCTACGCTACACGATCGCCATAAAATTTTCCCACACGTGCCGACGGGTTTTCCCGAAGAGTTCCGTCCCGTCTGAGCATGCCCTGATGAGCACTAAAAACTTGTCTCGTGGCAATAATTGCCGAATAGTTTTGTTTTAACAAACAGGTCCTTTTACTGTGCCAAACTTATGAAATCATGATTATTATAACAACAAGCTTGCAAATAGTAGCTACAGTAAAAAAAATAATAACTTTTCGATTCGCGATCCATGAATATTCATATTGTGGACGGATCCATTAATTTTGTAAAGGGGTGTTTCACCCTCTTTTGGGAGATTACATCGTTTTTCGTATTCATTATATTACGAAAAAAAAATATATTGCGAAAATTAAGAACTTATTCTGAACATGGGAAAGGTTTCAGACTCCATAAAAAGTTGGGTTTTTTTAATTCTGATACGGTGAAAAAATTGAAAATGCTGGCAGGTGCAGCATGACTAGTCATATAGTATGGCTAGTCATATGGGGGTACTATTGCGAAAACTCTAATAGAAAGGAACCTGCCAGTAAAGGGAATATGCAATTTGGACATTTGGGTTCGGTTTGGTTCGGGTTCGGTTCGGGTTCAGTTCGGAAGGCCAAGTTCGGCTATTTTTAGTTCGGTTCGGCGGTTCGGCGGTTCGGCTGCAGCACTATCGTATAGCAAATCTCTGAAGATCGACCATTCTTCCTCCACATTTTCACCAGTGGGTTCTGTGTATTGAAGGGTCTCTCAGATTTTTGCCTGTATTATGTTCTTGGCGACACAGAGGTGGGCAATGTTGAATTTCTTGACTGGTTTCTGCCTCGCTGTATGAGGCTTAGGAGCAAGCTGAATGTTCATCTAGCTTCGCACTAGTCGGTGATCGGGCAAACACTCAGCTCCTGTCATGCTGCTGGGATGTTCACATTGCGTCTGTCTCCTTGGCGAACGATCACACCATGGCATATTCCAACATGTGCCATCCACGTGGTCTTGTATTTGTTTGCATGTGGAAAGAGAGTGATGGACAATTCATGCTGAACACAGAGAAACAGCAGAAGCAGACCGTTGGAGTTGCACTTGCCAGTGCCATGGTGTCCAAGTACTCTCGACCATGGGGCATAGTCCACTCCCACACGGGAATTGAAATCACCAAGGATGATGAGTTTGTCTTTTCGGTTGACTTCACAAATGATATGAAAAAGCTCATCATAAAACGCTTCCTTAACATCATCAGGATTAGTCACTGTAAAGAAATACCGTAGCAGCTGAACATTGTGGCAAACAAGTCCTTATCGAGCTTAAGACACAAGGTCGTCAATCTGTCATTTATCCCATGAGGAAGGCTATCAGGGCATTTCACAAGGTTTGTGCGAATGGCAAACCCTACGCCACAGGTTCTTGGAAGGGCAGTGGAAGATGTAGCCTCCCTGAACTTCTTCTAGCTGTGTTTCACCAGCGAACCTCATTTCGCTCAGAGCTGCAATGTTTATTTGAAAGCGATCAAGCATCCTGGCGATGAGTGCTGTCTGGTGTTCTGGTCTATCGTCTCTGTCCAGCAAAGTACGGACATTCCAATTCCAGAGGTCAATAGGTGAGAATTGCATTTCTAATGGTTCTTGCAACCGCTCAGTTGGATGACCAGGCAGGCGCGGCCACCTGCCAGGCGCAGCATGACTAGTCATATCGTATGGCTAGTCATATGGGGGTACTATTGTGAAAACTTAGTGAAGGGAACCTGCCAGTAAAGGGAATATGCAATTGTAGTGAAGTAGACTTAGCCGATATATTTAAGCAACTATGGGCAAAGTTGCAGAACATTCAGAAAAGAAAGGGGAAAAAACCTCTAAAACAAAAGCTGGAAATGTCTAAAAAGCTTACAATCTCTCAGGGGTAGAAGCAATGTTATTGTATTTTAGGATTTTGTTTACTTACCATGAGCCAAAATAAGTCCAACAGCACTTGACTGACTGAGTGGGCTTGATGGCGCATTCACCCCTTTAATCTGGCTGTAACGATTATGGATCTGCAAGCTACACGACTAATATCAGAATAAGCAAAAACAGAGGAAATCAGTTGCAGAATCTACTGACTAGAGCTCTAGTGGATTGTTTACAAAACTATGACATTACTTTTCACTCAATTGTTTAATGAAAAATAAAAATAACAAAAAGCTGTAAATGTCCCTCAACTTGCTGGGAAGGGTTTTAGAGGTCTTTATCCATTTCCTTTCAAACATAATGATTTTGATCTTTTGGACAGGAATTAACTCGCAGTCCATGCATCCCAAACTGATAATTGTTACAGCAGAGTATAGCTAAATTTTAATTCCCTATCCGACCTATAACTCTGTGCCATGATTGTTATTGTTAGTAACTGGTACCTAAAGTCGCATGTGCATTGGCTATTAAATGTTGTCATTTGGCCCTTGTGTAATAGTGGAATTTAGTGAGTTGTTTGAGTGAACTTGTAGTATGAGATAATGCAGTATCTTGCAACGGGGTATTTAAGTATGGTAATGAGCTTGTGTAAGCAAATCACTAGAGACTGATGTAAAAGTGATGTGCATGTTGATGCAGCCATCTTGGCAGTTTATTTCATCAAATAAGCCATCTCTACAGTTAATGCAGTTCTGTGAGGCTTTTGGAGTGTGGCTCAGACAAGAACCAGTTGTGTAATCAAGGGGAGGGGAGGTGGGTGCAGACTGGCAGAGTGCAAAAGGCTAGAGATTTTAAACGTAAAATTGGGGTGCTGATAGCAAAATTGGAACTGCGAAAATGGATTAAAAATGTGAAATCGGAAATGGGATGCACGATTGTCGCTGGACGGGAAGTGTGACATCCCCCTTAATGGTTTTTTTTTTTTTTTTTTTGCTGTCGGCAACATGGTGAGTCCATCTGCAAATGTGCCCGGATGCCTATAGGCCGATAGCACCCATGATCATCTACTTCAAACAGTATCCCCTAGAGGAAGATGGTGTCCAGTCCAGTCCAATCCCCAGGCCCCCCCCCCCACACACACACACACACAATACTTTAATTATGTGCCTGACAAGAACATGTTAGTGCGACACTGGCAATTTATACAATCAATGTTCATTGCATGCTGAATCATTATTGTATCTTGAGAATACAATATCTCACAATTTGGGTGTACCATTTCTCACATTTTGAATGTATCATAAATATTTTATATATAAGTGACCACTTGATGTGTTAATTGTATAAATGATCTGTGTTTACAAGTTCATTCTTTTTCAGTTTGTATGACAATAAGTTGTTTTTAGATGTGAAGACAGTTAGTTAATTGTGTTTGATTGCGAGATTCGATCCAGATTTCCTTAGAATGTGGTCAAATTGGCAATTGCATTTTTAAGTGACTTTAAAGTTGGATTTGGATTGTCTCTTGACACTTGATATTGTGTTGGAGTTGGAATTATGTACATTGTATGACATTTAATAGTACCCAAATGGTGGAATTGTGACCAGAATTTGAATGACGGAAGAATTTACTTCCTTGCTCGCAACTAATGTTGCTTTTAGTATTGTACTCAAAACCTGACTGAATAAGTTCCTGCATGTTAAATACAATTGGAATTCTAGTGATTCCTCAGGTGCAATTGGCACCCTTGGCTATACTTCAGGTGTCATTAACACCCAAGGGCATAGAAAGTGGTATGGATTACATCTACATGAGTACGTCTGTGGATGTACCATGTGAGGAGAAATCTCTTTCCTCTCCTCAAAACAGGCACAGCATACAGTCTGAAACAATGTGCTTTCACAAGTTCGTTCTTTTCAGTACCACACAAACATACCAAACATGTTTCTTGTCACATAGTGCAACAACAAACTTACTCTTAATGCTGATTTCACAAGATGCAAACCTTCAAATCCTTGTGTTACAATTATGGGGAAGTGCCAAATTGCCACTGTTTTCCAGTTTGTCCTATCTGATGCACTTCAAGTGTGTATGTCGAAAATGCATTCATATTGTCCATGCAACATCAATGTAACATGCATACATGTACTCACTGTTGCTGAGTTTTTACACTTGGAGCCTTTAGGAGCCTTCACAGGATGCCAGATGCCACCACGATCAAATGTAATATTTGTATGAATGGATAGATCATCACCAACCTGGCTTGCCATGTACACACCACGCATAGATGCTACACGGTAAAAATCAGTTGTGGCAGAACCCTCAGCAAACTAAAACAAAGTAGCAACAGAAGATATAAAATATTTTTAAATTTTTTTTTACGAGACAACAAGGGTAACGACCAATAATGAGTTATTTCAACCAGATGCAGATAAACTTAAGCACAGTTTAAAGGCTAGTCACAACATATCGTGTCAGATAACATGACCACTTTTTGAATGCACCGCAGTGGTGAGTTTCTCTGAGTTGTGAGTTTTCTGTCTGTACAAAGGACAAGCCAAAATGATCAGGGCGATTGTTATATTTAATATGTTTCATATGTGAGTTCATTTTTGGAAGATTTAAGAAACAGGTGCATTTTCATAGAAACTGTAATAGGTGTGGGCTTGGTTGCATCAGCTGAGGAAAATATCTGTTCATTTGCAGACTAAATGCAGTTACACCAGCTGCTGTGTGTCATTATCCAGTACACTAGACTCATACACCAGTCGGTTTGTAGGAAATCAAACTAGTAATTACAAATAGAAACAGAGATGAAAGATGTTCCTCGATTTTAGATTGTCACAATTCAACTTTACAATATTCTGTAACAGACAATCTCTGTAAAAATTTATTTGAGAGTGTATGCCTTACCAAGTGTTTCTTGAGAGATACAGAGAACACAATTCCATCAGCATCAGATGTATACAGAGTTCCAGAACCTGTGTCTGAGTAAGGAAGAATAAACATAAAATGCGGACATAAGAAGCTAGGAATAAGGTTTGCGAATGACACCACATGAATAATGATCATGTTTGTTTGCAAGGGTGCTGTGATATAAACCACTCTCACAACCAGGTCTTTTAGAACCAACATTTGTCAGAACCAAAATGAGAGCATCAAGCTGATCCTAATGCATACATGTTTAGAATAATGACTGCAGACAATTTCGGCATAGAAAACTGTTGATCATCCGCTCTGACAAGCCTTGCGGGGTCCCCTACATTCCCTGCTTCATATTTTCTTAACTCAATGAAATTTAGTTTACTTAATACTTTGTCATGTTTATGTAATACATACTATAAACATTGTATTTGTACTTTTTGCCTGAGATGGAAATAAAGTCAAGGAATTAATTTTAATCTTCTTTAACCCCAACCACACTGAATCCATCAAAATCCATATCCCTGTTTTGGAGTATTTCGGCGGATTCAGGATACCAATACCTTCATATTGAAAGCAGGGGGATTTTATGGACTGAGGATTGCAAGCCTAGCGGTAGGGCATTCTGCAAGATTTTGATGGATTCAGGATACCTCCATACTGAGCAGTCACCTACACCAACATTTTTGTGCATGACACAATAGGTGGATTTTGGCGGATTCACGATACTTTCTTGTAAAGATACCCAAGGGGTTAGGGTTAATGAAGCCAATACTTCATGGAATAAACAAGCAAAAAAAATACTTTAACAAAGTTGATTTTCAAAGTCAAATAACCAATTTTCAATGTTAAAAATTCCCATTTAAATTAAAAATAACCTCAAGGGGACTGTACATGTAAGTGACTGCAGGAGTTTAAACTTTGGTTTATATTCACAAATACGCCAGTACAGGAACTTGAAAACCCTGATTCGATTGTTGAAACAGGTTGATTATAAAACTGTGATCATGGATTGTGGTGTATTTCTCAATGGGATGCTATTGTGGTCATTTTAACTATAGTTTTAAAGTTTTAAAGCGTTCTAGACTCAAGCCAAAGCAACATATATTTAGAGCAGCTCAAGTCCATCCAAATAGCATTTCGGTTCAGACAGTCAAACTTTATGAACTAACTTTCAATTGACAGCATTATTGAGTCATTTTTTTAAAATAAAATATGCAACAATTGATTTTTGGCATGTAGTTGCGATTACTTGTGTCAAGTATCGAGCTTAAGTTTGCAGAGATGCAAGTGGCTTTTGGGAGAAAATCTGAAAATAGGCAAGAGGTCGCCAACAGAAATCTGGCTATGAAAGGACAAACATACAAACGGCATGGAGCACACTTGTGGTCGGTGATTGTTATATGTGAAGATCTACATCTACAATTTATTCTGAAACCTTGTAATATTTGATGCTTTAAACTACATGGTATTACAAAATGATGAACTGATACTACAGCAAACACAATGCCTACAAATAATTTTGTTCCTTTTTTTTTCACCAAATTTGTGAGGAAATGTTCAATTTTAACAGTATAAAGTTAATGGGGTGTAACAGGAGTTGTGCTGTACAGTCATTATAAAGCACAGAAGTATCAAAAGACCCTACCTCCTTCATCATCAACATGCATGAATAGCATCCCTTCATTCATGTCCAACACAGAAAAGAACTGAAAGAAAGACAAGACCAGTATTGTTAAACAATTGATAAATTACAATGTACATGTAAAAGGAAAGACAGTCTGCTTTTAAAAGGTTATTTCTGTAAAACTGTTCCATTTAGACTTACTACATGTATATTATGATATCAGATCAGGAAATGTAAATGTTCATGTAACATATTTCATTTCCATGGTTTTCACTTCAAACCGTCCTGATAATTGGCTTCAGACCCAAGAAAAATACACTTTTTTAAGCCCCGATGCCAACTGAAACCCCTCTCTGAACCAAAATTATAAGTAAATTAACTAAATAAATAAATAAAGTACACTTTTTGTAAAATAAATTAGTAATAATCTATTCATTTCTGAAGTGCAGATTCTACAAAATATGTTCAAATGAGCTTTACATATTCTTAAATTTCTTAAAAACACTAACAAATCAAAAATTACTTCAACTAATACAAACTTCTATCAAAATGCAAATAAAGAAAATACAGTCCAAAAGTTTTATTAAAATTGGACTATGTCAATGATTTTTGTAAAATCATATTTTGATTATGTTACAAGATGTCACATATTTTCAAGTCCTTTGCATCAGTGTTTAATCTTGGTAAATTGTTACAAAAGAATTTAGCATGTTTTGTTTGCCACATATACTGAATAAAAGAATTATAGCTCTCTCTTATCACCTACAGTTATCCATTAAACAATTAACTATCCATTCAAACAATTATAGCCATGTTAGGCCAAGTAGGAAGTTTATTGGCCCTACCATGGCTTATATTAATAACAACTGGGCGTGGGAGAGGGGGAAGGGGAAGGGTGGTGGTGACAGAAACACGCTACCAACGTTGGGGTGTATCTCGTTCCCTTTGTAGACAGAAGTGTGCACACATCGCGTGCAAACAAACCCAATATTCACTGTACAAACCACCTCGCATTGTACACGATTGTACGTATGTACGCACACAATACACATATAGCGTTGAGCTGACAGCGGGATGATCGATCAACAGTTGACCACATACAGTGTGACCATACAGAGATAAACCCATCCAGTTAATAGTTACAAACAATGTTACGGCACACTGGTTGAGTCAGGCACCTAACTGTGCTACAGCGAAAAAAACATTTTGACTTTCGTCATGTTCATAAATTTGACCAAAAAAGGTCATGTTGAATTGACGGATTTCCTTTAAACGACTATGGAGTAAAGATGCGACCTACCTGTATGTTGATCATTTCAAGGAATAAAAACAAAATGTTGAAGAAGCGTTTTCACAAAATAGATTGTTTTTATGCAGGAAGTATGAGATTTTGTCACAATGCATGTATTTTGACGAAATCCTTGAAACTTGGCAAACACAGGTCTACTGCTATTCATGGTTTAACGGTTAGTTTATTGTACAAGTTACTTTCGGTAACCTAAATTGCTGAAAAATGGGGGGGGGGGAATCTGAAACACAGTTAATTTATTTTCTTTTTTTTCCCCCGGCGACGGATATGGAACATTGATCCAGTTTGTTTCCCCGGCGACGGATATGGAACATTGATCCGAATAATGTCAAAAAAACAACAACCCAATAACACTTTTTTCAGTCCATTCTAATATCTTATCTCTCATCTGTGAAAGTTTAAATTCAATACCTAGGCAGAATTAATGGAGTTACTAAGTAAGAAAGAGCGAAGAATAATTAACTTCTGGGTTTCCACACACGCGGGCGATGGCCACTCTTTTTACCGAGAAGAATCCTCATGTTTGCTACAGCCGTGCCGAGCTAGCTACAATCCTGGCCAAATCTCGCTGGGCCCCCAACCCCCCAGCCCCCGCTCAATGTTGTCTCTCATTGCGCGGTGTGTGCTCCATCCGCTGGAGAGAACAACATTGACCGGGGGAGCGGGGGAGTTGGTGACCGTTGGAGGCTAAGGTTATTTCCAAGTGTCCCAAGCATTTTGGCCGGGATTGTCTGAATGTACAATAGCCTTGATATTGGATTTGGATATTGCGCGTAGTATGCGCTCAAATAATAATACACACACGCGCGCGCTGGTAACATGGTCAATGCACACGATTCACCATGACGGTGCACCATGTCATTTTGGCCGATATTTTTACAAAATACAGATTGTGTTCAACGTGAAAGCCGTATTGGATACACAAACAACGTATCGTCTTCTTCAATTTGATTTTAATCCCTCATTTGGACGAAAAATCCATCCAAACCATAGTGTAACCACGGTTCACCACTGTAAATTATATAATAAGCAGTCACTCAATTCCTTTATATTTTGGTTTGGATGGATCACCGATGGATTTTTCGGCAAATTAACGGAATGAGTGAATACAAACAAATTGACAAGGATTGTATATTGTCTGTGTATAATAATGAGCCTTTCAAGTTAAACACAAACTGTATTTTGTACAGTTGTTGGCCAAAATGGCATGTTAAACCGTCATGGCGAACCGTTACGATGCACGCAACAATAAAGTTGTGATTTTAAATCATTGGAACATTTGTATTTTTAAATTTCCATTTTTGTTTTACTATCAATCATTATTATCAGGCCTAAATATGTGTTCTTTCATTCAACCTTCGGCCGCCATTTCATATTTTGGAAACAAAACTCAAGAAAACAGCTCCCCAAACGGCATGTCATGCATATTTTGAAAAATGAAAAAAATAAGACAATCTTGGCCAAATCTCGCTGGGCCCCCAACCCCCCAGCCCCCGCTCAATGTTGTCTCTCATTGTGCGGTGTGTGCTCCATCCGCTGGAGAGAACAACATTGACCGGGGGAGCGGGGGAGTTGGTGACCGTTGGAGGCTAAGGTTATTTCCAAGTGTCCCAACCATTTTGGCCGGGATTGTAGCTAGCTAGAAGGTCGTACCATTGTGAAAATACAGGGTATGAAAAGGGGTGGGTTAATATTTTGAGGGGTCAAACGAAAAGAAAAAAAAAACGGCCAAGAGTTACCAAAATGGCGACAAAAAGAATATTACATTTTGAAAAGTGATGTTTAAACTTCAAATTTATCTTTGATTTAGGGTGATTTTTGAAAGAAAGCCATGCGAACATCCCTTTTAAAAATGATGTGTTTCGAACAGCGTCATCAAATTCTGCCATCCGGGAACTTTTTACACCAATTTGTGGTCAAGTTCCCAGTATACATTCGCGTTTGCTGAATACGCGATGTAATCGGGAGCCGACTATTAGTACAGCACTGCACAAAATGTGTGTTCGCTCATACCCCCCGCCCTGCAAACAGGGCGCTGGGATACTCTGATGAGCTTCACAGAATCTTGTGAAGGAAATGGCCTATGACCTATGTATAAAGCATCTGGCTGCAGCTGTTCAAAACCGCAGTTAGACAATATGTGCAAATGCTATCCGAAAACTTCCCATAGAAATGCACACGTTCCATATCAGATGTGATTTCTGTTTCATTGCGGACCATGTGGACAACATTTTGAGCGTCGCATAATGCAATCCGACCGTTCGTGATTCGAAACGGAGCCTGAGCAAGTGAAGGGAATCGTAAATTTAAAACACAGATAAGTTTTACAGACTTTCCTACATTATTACGCTTTTCAAAAAATAAAATAACATCTCTAAACTGGAATAAAAGAGTAATGAATCAGTCTTAAAGGCCGTTTCAAACCTTGCAGAGTCATGACCTTGATGACGCTCAGATCACTGGTCACGCAAAATCCAACCAATCAGAGCATGAATTCATCAGAGTATCCCAGCGTCCTGTTGGCAGGGCGGGGGGTACGAGCGAAAAAATGTGTGTTGATGCAGTCACGATGTTTGTCATCGGTGGCAAAGTCAAAGAGCCGAAAAATCATCAGGTTAGAAGAGGGTTTCATAACTTTTCTAACAAAATGCCTAGCACTTCATTTGAAGTGCTTATTATTTTTGGTACTCATGATAGTTTACAAAGGATCTTTCCATGATTATTGTAGAATGTTGAACTGCAAATGCAATCAAAACATTTTGACAGCTGGGCGCCGTGACACTAGCTTGGCAGATATACTTGCTGTAGGCCTAATTCCCAATGGCATGGCCATTGACTTTTATAGATTCTCTGAGTCAATATATCAGACACGTCTTTCAAATCACTTTAACACTAATTTTTCAAATATAAATTATTTCATTAGGGGATTTATGTTTTGTTCAGATTTTATTCTGGTATTGTTTTGTTTGCTGTCACTGTCAGTGTTATTTCTTTTTTCCCATGACAATCATGACAATCATGACAATGTAAATAATACTTTTTATAGGCCTTCCCTAGCATGCCTAGAAATAATAATTGTGAATATTATTTTAACGTCAAGTTTCCATGGTAACGGTTTGAATTCAGCAAATGTTGACTTTTTTTGGGGGGGGAATTGGATTTTCACTAATTCCCTAAATCGGATATTCACTATTTTCCAAATTTGTTTTCCTAAATCTACTGGTGCAATACCCTTATATAACAGGGCAATTGGTCATCTGAAAAAAAAACCCACATTTTTCAAATTGTCTTCAAACAAAATCTGATATACAGGGCGTCCTGAAAAATGGTGCATGTAAACCCCTCCATTTTTGCTAATTTACAACCAAAATTTTCTGAGGATGTTTACAAAATCTTCAAGGTAATAGATTTAGCTTGAGAATACCGTTTGTTTCATTGGGATTGCTTTTGTAAATCCAGAGATATGTTTGAATAACGGCAAAGCCAAGAAACCCATTTTGTGCCACTTTCTGTGAAGCAGTTAAAATCAGTATAGCCCTAGTCTAAAACCAAATCACTTTACTCTTAGTGATTTTAAAATTTTTAAGCAGAGTGTGCAATATTTATTTATATTTAATTGAACTCTTTCATTGAAGTTTTAAAGAAGTGAACCTGTCTGTACAATTAAATTGTTTCAACATATAAAACAAAACATGTACATGTCATCTGGGGCTAATTTTTTATTTTTTTTCCTGCCTGACAACCCTTCTCAGCACCTTAGAAATCCGTAAAACAATAAAATTGGAATGGCCTAAAACGCTAAAGAGATCCCATGCTGGTAATAGCCTACACATGGGGGGGGGGGGGCACGAAACAAACATCCCCCTGGGGAGTTGGCTGATAGTTTGATTGTCTGACACTGAGGAACCATCCGAAAAGCCTCCATGAATAGCTGCTATAGCAGAATGATAATTCTTAACGGTGACCGTAGTAAGGTTACTTTCAAAGAAGTATACCAGAAAGTCTGAAATCTCCCCTACAGAAGTATCTGAGGGATGCAGAGATCTGCTTTTACACCATCTGTAAAAGTGGCGTAGTCTACTGTCACAAATTGTCCTGGTAGATGCTTGTTGGCTGCAGGCTACAATGGCTGCAGCTCATTCAGAAAGGCCTGCTGTGCGGAGGGGCTGCATGATAGTACCCAGCACGTCAGGTGAAGATCCCCTGGAGCCAGGTGAAGAAAACCCGAGCTGGGCTGGAACAGCATGTCCGTTCTCTGCAGAAGAATGACTGGTCGGTGAACCAAGAGTTTGATGAGTCTTGGGAACCATGGCCGGCGAGGCCAAAAGGGGGCGATAAGGAGAACCTTGCAGACCTCTTGCTCCAACTTGGTCAGTACCCGAGGTATGAGGGAGAATCGAATCGGGCCGTTGTTGTCTCTGGTCCTCCCAACCTGTATGGCCCACGGGCGACGCATGTAAAGCGCTCGCTGTAGGCCGGGCTTCCGGTGTACAATCAACCACGTGTGGTATCTCGTTGTGCTTGGGCCACCCAACCGTGACCAATGAACGACGATTGTGAAGAATTCACCGCAGGTAGGGACTCCAGAGCACAGCTAACTGTGTGCAGTATGTCCCTTGTTCACAGGCCACCCAGCCGTGACCGGTGACTGAAGACTGTGAAGACTGAACAACGGGGGTCCAAAGGAACAACGGAACAAATCTGATGACAAGAATGGTCCCTCATAGCCAGATAGAACTTGATCCGTCCCATGGGAGAGGAATTCCCCCCGGCTTGTGACAGACCAGTCCTCTCCAAACGCTTCATAACTATGAACTAATCAATCAATAAAACGAAAATATACTCTACAATACACTTTTTTAATCAATTACTTCTCTTAAAAGCGCAGGGTATAAAAAAGCGATATAAAAAACCCTGATTTTTATATGTCATACCCGACTGCCGCTAAGAGAAAATGATGGGGGGTATTATGGGTAGGGCACCTGAGGGCGCTATTGTATTAAACTCTTAGCGTAAAATACCTGCCGGTATAGGGAATATGCATAAGTAGATTGCTCTACAGGTAAGTTGAGTGAAGTAGACCCTTACATTAACAACACAAGTTTACTTTGTACTTTTAACAAGATGATAACTGCTGTGGATCGTTCACTTATCCACAGCACCAATTCCAAGAGCCAAAAGAGGGAGAGTGGCTCGGAACAATACACAATACAAGTAATAGAGGACATGAGCCACCTGTAATTCATGCCTGATTTCAATGGTCATCAATACATTAATTTGAAATGCAACAAAAGAATATCCATAACATGCAACACTACATATCCTACAACACTGACCCCAGGTGATAGTTGCTCATTTGTTTGTATTGACCCTAATACTCAAAATGGACAAAATTGACAAAATGGACAATCACGCCTTCCTTAAACCATCAAGGCTACTACCGGTATTTAATGCAGTTTGACAAGAGACCCTCCCCACCCCCGATTCTGAGATTCACAGTTCCTGGCTCACTGATTTCTCTTGCTTAAGTGCAAGTAACCCCTAAATAGGAGACCAGGTCGGAGGAAGGTCATTGATTGCATCAATCGAAAACACAACCAAAACAGAGAGATTTGAGGCATCGGCATTGCATTACGCATGTTCAGTATGTTTTATACAATGTATCCATTGTGAACCAAAGTACATACAGGCTACACATCAAAGCCACTGCCAAGCACTTAAGTCACTTAGCCAATGTAAAGATTTCCTGTGTGATTGCATTTTGAGCTTCACAAAAGACTTTACCCTCGAGAGTGTAAACTGTAAAACTAACTTTCAATATACAAAATACATGTATATCACTACGCATGTAGCAGACAGTGATGTTCAACCATGAGGTGCCAGCATTGACTCCGTCACACACTTGTAACATGGTCTGCTGACAAACCATATAGAGTGCGGTCCACTATAGTTGGCTCAATCTTCAAGTAATCTTTGACATAGTAAAATAATCCTTGACAGTTAGAAACTATTTTCAAGTCCATTTACAAACAATGTAGTAACCAAATGAGACATGCTTCTGTGAAACTTGGAAAAAGTTAATAAATTTTGTTTTCTTATAATTTTGGCATTTTTAATTTTTATGGAAGTAGGTCTCAAATGAGATTTCTTTACTCCGTTCAATTGTCAGATGAATTGAAATCTGGTAATTTTTTTTTATTTTGAAGTTACAACCTTTTAATTTGATTGATCAATGAAGTTACACGACAGTGCCCAGATATTCATTTCAAATTCCCTGCAGAAACTCACCTGACTTTATCAGAGGCTAAATAAAAATAGCGTCAGTAAACTATCCATAGTAATTCTGTTTCTTTCCTTACCCGGTCACTGGTGACAACTGGAAGCTGTGTAGGGCTCCACGTCTTACCATCATCTTTAGACACATAAAGTATTCGTCCATTATCCCCCTGTCACAAATATGAAAGAAATCACCCTTCAAAACATTATTTGGTTAAAGAAAAAAACACTGTGCAAATGCTCTTTGTAATTCCTCGTACATTTGTTCATAAATTATAGCTTTGTGGAGCGCTGTGGTCCACTGGTCACAGTGTTTTCGACTCAAGTGCCGTGGTACATGGGTTTGAACCCCGATGGGGAAAATGGTGCTTGTGTTCTTGGGTAAAACAGTCTCCAGCCAGGAGTACAAATGGGTTCACATGGGTAGATACCAAATGTGCTGGGGCGGATTGCAATAACGCAGTCTTAGTCGGCTGGCTAAACCAGTCCAATTTTAGCCAGCTATTGTTCTTAGACGGTCTTGGTTAAGACACCAAACTTAGCCCATTGCAATAAGCTGGTCTTTACTAAGCCCGCTTAGAGTAATGATTCACAAACAAACATTCCATGGTTACGGGCAAATACTGGAGGGACTGCACATTTTATTTTTTAAGGTTTGTGTGATTCATATCATGCGATATCAAATGTCAATTCCGAAATTTTATGTTGAGAAAATTGTATTTGCAGTACAACTCAGTGTCATTACATTTTTCCAGAAGATCCCTTCTATCCCAGAGAATTTTCCCTCCGAGCAGTGTTCTGCTTTTTAAAGATTTAATCATCAAACACTCATCAACTGGGAAAAAATATTTTGGGAAAGAATAATTCAACACAACAGTGAATTCCAAAAATCCCAACTATAGACCGTTTTAGCCCAACCCAGGCTAACTATTTTAAGACTGTTTTACTACTTAAACTGTGTCATTGCAATGGTCTTACTTATAGACTGACTGACAGCCAGAGCTTTTAGACTGTCTAATGCGCATAGACAGCTTTAAGACCGGTTATTGCAATCCACCCATGATCTCAAGCTCCAGTGCAATCTGGTCTCATGGCCCGATGCACAGGGGTAATGATTATGAAGCGCTTCGAGACCTTTGGTATAAAGCGCTATAGGCCTACAGGGAGTGTTACAACTGATAATGTAGTAACCAACGGATAATGTATCACCAACTGATAATGTCACACAAATTGACCGATACTGTATACCGATAATGTAACAGAAATTGACCGATAGTGTAGTAAATGTTACCAAACCATCGGTCAATATTTGTTACATTATCGGTTAAGACCGATAGTGTAGTAAATGTTACCAAACTATCGGTCAATATTTGTTACATTATCGGTTAAGACCGATAATGTAACAACAATCGACTAATAGTGTAGTACATTTTTACCACACTATCGGTCAATTTCTGTTACATTATCGGTTAGTGATACAGTATCGGTCAATTTGTGTGACATTATCGGTTGGTGATACATTATCCGTTGGTTACTACATTATCAGTTGTAACAGGGTGCGTCAAAAAGAAAGTGACTGAATTAGAAAAAAAACATTTTTAAAAATATGTGGCTTGCTCTATTCCATAAATAAACATAGGGATAAAGTACATCTTATTGACTAGTAACTGTGAACATTTTACTTAATTTGCACGTATACTCTATTCCCAAGATATTGACTATTTTGATAAAAAGATCACAAAATTCAGCTCTCCACCACTGATCATACAATGAAACAGAAATGTGTTCCCACCTCCATGAATGAACGAAAACTTGCAAAGGAAACAGACAAAAATCCCAATCAATATTTTAGAAAAAAATACTGCAAGTGAAACCTGTGCAATCACTCTGGCATGCTGGCAGTTCTTATACAGTTAGTTGGTACGGACACTTGTCAGTGCACCTAACCAAAATAGAGGAGAGGAGAGACTGACGATGACTAGAGCAGGCTAGTCGAAACGTTGAGACCAAAGACAATTTCGGTTAGAACTTACACCAGGACTGTTCTTATCAGAACCAAAAAACTACTTAGCAAAGTTGATAATAAGCAGGACAAGTTCTTTTCAGAACTAAATATCTTCTAAGCAGAAGTTATTACCACATGGTGTTACCGCGAATTGTGTACTAGTGGAATAAAAACCGCAGCGCTGGTGCCAATTAAAACTGAATAGGTTCGTTGATACAAGTTGTTTTCCTAAATGCGCATGGAAATAGACAGATAACAATAGATTTGCACTTGCCAGACCGCAAAAAGTGCTTGTCTGAACCGTCGTCTCATATCACCCAAGCTCGTACTATGCAATTTTTCCCTCATAGTAATATGCACACTTCGGTCGGGACTGACGAAATATGCTCATCTTAACCGAAATCTTGTCTAACCCGTGCTCGTATTAACGAGATTTGACTGTATATACAAACATGTACACGTTTGTATGGTCTAGGCCTGTGAAAATGCTGATTTTTTCCAGCTTCTTTGAGAACCGCTGATCCAAACAACTTCAAAAAAAATGGGGGGGGGGGCCAATTTTTTGTGTGTACAATCATATTGAGGTGTCTGCGCGTAGTCAAGGGTAAAGGAAGAAATTGATAATTTTCTGGGTTTTTTTCCTCATTCCCCCCCCTAAAAAAAAACAAAATTAGGATATGGGCTGTGAAAATAGGGTAGGTAGGGTAACCGGAAGCAGAACTATTATTTTTTTGGCCTGAGCAATACACCTGCCTATTTTCAACTTAATACAGTGCCCGGTTCTGGACATAAGCAAAATACAGACAGACAAAGCGACACACAGAGATTCCAGGAATTATGGAAGATGGCATTCCATGGACAGGTATAAAAATAGCTCCTTGTTATAAAACATGCATAACTTCTGACAGCATGGATACATTTCAGTAATTTTCAGATAAGTGGAAGATCATGCTCTTTTAAGACATATTTCATTAAACACATTCATATATTTGGACGGTTGAGTTATGCATGCACAGCAAACTGCAAAGCAACCAAAGTGTTTTTATAGTTCAAATTATATGCTGTGGCCTCGTAGTTAAGGGCACTGATTCGTGGTCTGCGGGTAAAGCTGCAGGTTGTGGGTTCAAGTCCAGCCTGGGGTTATGGTGCATGTGCCCCTTGGGCAAGGCACTTTGTCACTCATTGCTTCTCTCCACCCAGGAGTAAATGGGTACCTATGAGGGCAGTGAAGGTTATTGTGATTGAATTAGCTTCCTTGCACCTATATTTTAAGCGATTATGTTATCAACATAAAATATTCTTGGTTTATGGCTTAAGTTCAATGGACCTTTCACAGAAAAATATGCATCTCATCAGCGCAACAAACAATGGGCAGCTACTTGCCCTTTTAACTGCCACTTCTTTTAAACCAGCTCAAATAGATTCATGTTATGAAACTGCATGCTCAAGGCAGTTGTCTGGCTGTGCTGGTCGCTTTCTTTGTCCACTGCATACCTCAGGGAGTTGGTTGGGTCATGGGCATCAATCCTGGGGGGGGGGGGGGGGACAGGGGGACATGTCCCCCCCCCCCCCCCCCACTTTTTGAAGGGTGGGGGACACAATATCAAATGTTCCCCCCCCCCCCAGATTTTTGAACTCGTGCCTCATTTACAGGGCCCTATTACGTACTACAATGTATCTTTTGCTAAGAAAATATTGGTTGAAGTGGTCAGAAATTGCCTCAGATCGCACCATAGAGCATTTAAAATCCAAAATTTTTCGAAACCCTCAGACCTCAGAAAATGATTTTCAAATTATTATCTTTTGCTGGGAAAATACTGGTTAAAGTTGTCAGAAATTGCCTCAGATCGCACCACAGAGCACAGGCCCCGAACCCCACGCCATTAGCTGAGAATATAATAGCTTATTCAATGACTTCAACCTCGAAAATGATGTTTAAATCATTATCTTTTGCTCAGAAAATATTGGTTACAGTGGTCAGAAATTGCCTCAGATCACACCACGTGAGCATCAGGATTACACCAATAACTAGGCATGTCGGCCCTTTTTTGAAGTTTAGGCAATACCAATGATTGATAGCTCATATGAAGCAACTCGATGAAAGAAACACAGAACAGAAAGAATTTTTAAAAAATGACTTTCCGTTCTCAAGTTATGATCAAAAACGTGTTCCCGTTTTAACGGCTTTCATAGACATTTTAGCCACAAAAATTCAAAAATCAATAATTTCAGATTTTTCAGATAAAAAAAAAGGGAATTTGAAATTTGTATGCTTCAAATCATTTCTTTTGCTAAAAAGACCTTGGCACACTTCAACAAAAGGTCTGCAATTGTTTTCAATTTCTTGTTAACGGCTGTCAAAAATGCTGATTTGTTAAAAATTCTTCAACGGAAAACTAGAAAAATCTGAAAAATTGACTAAGTCCAGCTAATTAATATGCATAATTGCTGTATCATAGGAATAAAATACACTATAATAAGGCAAAAAAAAATAAGTCTCCGGTTTCTGGTATGCGCGCGCGTCGCCGTAGCCATGCGCGTCGGCAAAATGAAAAAGTTTTTTTTCAATGAAAGATTATGTCTCAAAACCGCCAAACTCACTGGTTTGACTGGAATCCTGCTGCTGCACAATTTTAACGTGTTTTTAGGTTATGGTCGAGAATAAGCTTTATGTGGCCTCTCTGGACTCCCATATATTTGCACTAAGTTTAGTCGGGCACCATTTGCAGTCATCAGCACACATTTGAAGCAAAAAAAATCAGGTAAAAAAAAAAAAAAAAGCCGCGTCGCCGCATCACTTTTTGGGCAAGCTCCATACCAGAAACCGGAGACTTTTTTGGGGGGGGCCTAAAGGAACTTGGCACAAGTAATGTTTGTGTATAGACCTGTATTTTGACTTCTTGTTTTATGTCATTTCGCATTTTCTGATGTAATTAAAGCTAATTAACATGCAGTTTTAGACAAAATCGCCTAATTACATGTGCATAAACACTGTAACTTCAAAAGGCAAACATTTATGACCGTATAACTGGGTACGTATATTCGGTGTTTAAAGGGCTTTCATTTAGTACAGTGTTTTCAATCATCTCTATTAGCATATGCAAATTATCTTAATTTATATGCAAGTCATCCTTAATTACCTAATTACGTATGCGAAACTTTTTT